AAGAAATTTTTGAACTTTATTCTCGGTTCTCTGCGTCAGTATGGTCAAAGCTTTAATGTTGAGTTTCCACGCCAGCATTGGCAAGGCTTGAATCTCCGGGTGTCTGCGCTAGTATGGACAAGACATCAATGCCGTCTTTCCACAACAGCAAAGGCAAGGCTTGAATAACCGGATCTCTCCGCCATTATGGGCAAGGCTTTAACGCTCTAATTTTCGAACACTTGTACGTCAAAACTGTTATTAGAGCTTGATTATAAAGTGTTTGTATAATATGCGTGTATGTGTTGTATGAGAGATAAAGAGATGGTGTATTGAACCAAAAGAAATGACCCGGCAGAGAGAGAAGTTTATTTGGGAAAAAAAATGCTACGACATTGAATGTTATGAACAGAGTGATGATAAAACCAAAAAATGTTAGAGAAAAACAAAAACCAGTCACAAGTTTCATATGACAATAAACGTAGAAAAAAACAAAAAGTAAACTTTAAAGATTCTAATCAACATCAACGATGGCGTTCCAGACGAAAGTCACGCAGACGCTGATCAATGAACATATTTCTTCCGTTCTTTTACATTAACGTACGAATTTCCAAGAGATTTTTTTTTCTTCAGGCGAATTTCTCATAAGTAAACAGGATAACTTGTGTTTACCTCCCCCTTTCTTCATTTCTCTCATCTTACGCGTTTAACACTTTTTCTCTCGGGCTATCGCTTCCCAAGAACACTACTTTCGGTGACATCAACGTTTGGTCACGTGTCGCTGGATGGTGTCAGAGCCATGTATGTACGTCACTGATAATTTAACTCATTTGGGGCAGTAGAAGTTTTGATTTTGTTTTTCGTTGCGACACAAGAAACTAAACAATGTTGTATTAATTTATTTGTTTTTAATTCACGGCCGAGGAACAGGAGAATCGTTCATGTATTTGAATAGCCGTGTGTGTGTGTGTGCGTGCGTGAGAGAGACAGCGGGGGGAGAAAGAGAGATTATGTTTGTAATGATTATTTTGATACTAGAAAATTCACATATTTTATTCAAATTATCTGAATTGACAGACCCCTGAAGAAGTCCAGCGGGCACAAATACTGAAACGTTGTGGTAATCACAAGGAAAGATTCAGCTACTCACAGGGTAAATAATTCAGTCTAATAGGATCAAAGAACGAGTTTCTAGTTAAATAATGGTGACTTGTATTTTATTTACTAGCGTATCCATGCCGTCAGAAATGGCGATAATTGTCAGTTTTAATAGTGAGTTGAAAGAAACGAAATTTTGAAACAATGTATTGAGATGCAACAAATCAGAGATAGCACAACTCATGATATTCACAACTAATAGAGGCTAAAGAACTGTTTAATTATTCTGTTTCCTTTATATTATTTAACATTCAATGGCATCTATGATTCAATGATTACTCCTGGTATTATATAAATAACTTTTGCACAATATATTTTCAAAAGTATGTGTTTAATATAAAAGTGAACTAGAAGTATCCCTCGTAAAAAGATTAGCAACAAAATGACAACGACGGCTAAGACGAAGCTTATTTTAAGACCAAGTTAACGAAAAACGATCATTTAATAGACAAAAAAGGTATCTGAGTGCCTCGATCTGCAATCTAAGAAACGTACGAGCAAAGGAACTGGTTAATTAAACCGTTCATTTGACTCGGGAACTAATTTTGCCTAATGCAAATAAATCTTTTATTTGTATATAGATATATACAAATTAGATTATTAAAACAACTAGGGAAAGTAATAACACGTATATTTACTAACTTAAATTGATTTACCTCCCTTCACACTGCCGTGGTTTGACAGTACTACACTTAGTATAATAGTACAATACAGGGCCAGATGAGAGGAAATAAGACGATCTGATAAGCAAGGACATCTCTCTACCGTGAAAATACACATCTGAAATCCTAGGTTTTAGTCGGTGTCAAAATAAATATCTACTTAACCTACAAGGACACTCTATCTCTTCCATATGCATTCCGACTGATCATGGATCTTCAAAATGTGTCTATTATTTCTTTCAGTAATCTTTGGTTCTGTACAGACCCTTCGTTCTGGCATCAAACTGTTTTTCTCTGATCCTCTTGTTTTCAATGTTTCCTGTGAATATTATGTGAAATCGTCTTTCTTAATTATTTTTGTTGTCTTTATTTTGTTCATTCCATCGTCGGCAAAGCCAAATCAGTGTCGTTTTAATCTCTTACTGTTCAATGGAATTCTCTAGCATTCAAGGCTATATAGAAGATTTTGTTTCTAAGGACATTTTCCTTTGCTTAGTTTCTGGAAGACATCTTACCGTCTTATGTTTTTCCTCTGCGCTTTCATATTTCTGTCCTATTTGCCGTTATCTGTTACTTCGTAAACAGTTAAATTTCTTCATCTGACTGACCTCGTTTTATCTTCGATATGTTCCTCTTACCTAGAATTGTCTTTATGCTAGAAACTATGCGTTTTGTCTTCTTCGAATTAATGGATAGAACATTTGTTTTTGCTTTGCTCCTATAGCGGCTCGGACTGAGGAATCGGAGGGCCGAGTTCGAATCCCAGTCGAATCCATTACATTCATTTAGATTCTAATACCCTTGGGAAAGGTATGAATCCTCTTCTTCTCCCCTCTTGCTATGGGTAAATAGTTGGACAGACCGGGTTCTATAGCCTTGGATGGCAACTGGTCTACTGCAGAAAGAAATGGTAACCAACTGAGGGAAAAAATCTGCCTCGTCAGTTATGTATCGAAAGATACACTATCGCATGGCACATAACTGACTGACCTGTTATATAGAATCATAATTAATTTTCATTTTAATTTTTTATTAACTATATTCTTAAAAAAAAGTACCATTACATGTTCTTCAGTTATATTGAGTTAGCCAAAAAGTTAGTTCGTTTATTAAGTAGAAGAGTTATTTAATGGAATGAACGAACTTTTTGGCCAATAGTATTTGCAGTGACTTGTTCTTCGCTACATTTTGAGTAATATTCCGCGGGTTCTGATGTTTTTTTTTTTTTTTTTTGAAAAAAAGGTTTTCCGCGAATCTCGAATCTGGTTTTTCGTTAGAGAAATCCTTCTTTCGCTAGGCGTATGATGGTAGCGAACGAAAAGAAAAAGAAAAAAAAAGAAAAAAAAAGAAGCTAGTAATCATCACTTGGTACAGCGTCAGGTGAATATGACAGCATGGGTAAAACAGACCAGCAACAGAGTTCTAAAAAAAAAATAAAAATATCCGTGTTATTCTTGCTTTATGCAGAACGCGTTTCGACAGGCGCGCCGTACGTGCTGATGTTGATGTGTCCGAGAGGTGCGCGAAGTTGCGGAGAAACAAAAAATCCCCACACCCGCTTCGCTACTCTTCAGCTTTCTCGGTGGTTGTTTATGAAGTTTAATCTCGTCTGGTACGAGGCGTTAGCAACCAAGAAGGATCGAAAGAAATGGTCTGAGATAAAAGCGCTAGCTAACTTTGGCTTTACGGTAGTCGCTTTTTGACCCACATGTAAAATGTATTTATTTATGAATTTTCATAAAAGCATCTCTCTCTCTTTCTCTCTCTCTCTCTCTCTCTCTCTCTCTCTCTCTCTCTCTCTCTCTATATATATATATATATATATATATATATATATATATATATAATGTAAAATTTATTTTAGGATATTAAAACATGTTAAAAATCGCAATGTAATGGCAATTATGTTTCCAATCTACAAATGTGTCTCCTAGTGTTGAAATATAATTGCCATTATTATGCGATTTTTAGCATGTTTTAATATCCTAAAATAAATAATATTTAGCTCTACTCTGTATTGAGCCATGTTTTAAATTAAATGCTACGTACAGTGGAGTTATACTTCATTTGTTCTCATTTTACCTGGACATATATATTACTTCAAACGTTATTTTTAGTGGATTTTGTATTTGAGTATACACTCCGTTTATTTTAACAGAACTTATTTCGTCTACCGGCCTGCATGCCCGAGAAAACTTTGTCCTATTAAGTTTTCTAGGGTACACAGGGCGGTAGAAGAAATAAGTAGTGTTTAAAACAAACGTAGCGTTTACACAAATACAGGTACCCACTAAAAATACCGTTTGAAGTAATATATGTGTGTGTGTGATTTCTCTATCCTTCTCTCGTGCTTGCAGACGCGTGTGAACAAAGATGTAGTTACTGTTTTGCGCGCGAAACATTTTTCAATTTGTTTTCTAGTAAGCCTGAATGCGCATGTTTTGTTTTGTTTTTAATTAGTTTTTCACGTTTTTTTTTGTTTTTTTTTGCTCCTTTTTTTTTTTTGTTCGTTTGCTTTTTTCCTTGAGAAGATTTTTTTTGTTTTGTTTAGTGTTGGTGACAGAACACACCACATAAAGAAAACAAGTCGAAAGCGTGAATTTGGAATCATTTTTGTTTTTTCTTATTTGTATGCTTCAAGATTACTGTTTGCATTTTCCGACATTCTTCGGGTAATTTTACTATATCATCACCACCTCTTACACACACACACACACACACACATATATATATATATATATATATATATATATATATATATATATATAAAGAGAGAGTAAAGTAGTAACGAAATGTTTTCCTGACACGCTAACTCCTCGTATTAGCAAAGGAAACATGACATCTTCGTTGGAGGGCGTTGAAATACTACAGTGCAAAGTGATATCAATTTTCCACCAAATGAACACCTTGGGCAATTCCGCCTGGATAGCATTTCCTCGCGGGCAACAGAGAATACATTCATGTACTTGTAAAATAATTTAATTAACGGCTTTTTATTTTGTTTTTGTTTCATGGATTTCTCATTTTTCTTTTTTCGCTTTCCAATTGACGTTTTTCACTTTCTGTTTTCCACGTATCTTCCCCTTTTCTCTGTCTTTCTGTTGTTTTTTTTTTCATTCATCTCAATGTTTTTAATTTTTTGTTCTTTTCGTCTGTTGTACTTTTAGATTATTTTTTTTCACTTTTCCTTCACACACGCACATGGTCCTAAAATTTTTTAGCTCCTTTCTCTATCCTCCCTTCCTCTCGTTTGCACCCTTTCCTCACGTCCTCTCGTTTGCATCCTTTCCTGTCGTCCTCTCGTTTGCATCCTTTCCTGTCGTCCTCTCGTTTGCATCCTTTCTCTCGTCCTCTCGTTTGCATCCATTTTCTCTCGTCCTCTCGTTTGCATCCTTTCCTCTCATCCTCTCGTTTGCATCCTTTCCTCTCGTCCTCTCGTTTGCATCCATTTTCTCGTCCTCTCGTTTGCATCCATTTTCTCGTCCTCTCGTTTGCATCCTTTCTCTCGTCCTCTCGTTTGCATCCTTTCTCTCGTCCTCATCCATTTTCTCGTCCTCTCGTTTGCATCCTTTCTCTCGTCCTCTCGTTTGCATCCTTTCCTCCTCGTTTGCATCCTTTCGTTTTTGCATCCTTTCCTCTCGTCCTCTCGTTTGCATCCATTTTCTCGTCCTCTCGTTTGCATCCATTTTCTCTCGTCCTCTCGATTGCATCCATTTTCTCGTCCTCTCGTTTGCATCCTTTCTCTCGTCCTCTCGTTTGCATCCTTTCCTCTCGTCCTCTCGTTTGCATCCTTTCCTCTCGTCCTCTCGTTTGCATCCATTTTCTCTCATCCTTTCGTTTGCATCCTTTCCTCTCGTCCTCTCGTTTGCATCCTTTCCTCTCGTCCTCTCGTTTGCATCCTTTCTCTCGTCCTCTCGTTTGCATCCTTTCTCTCGTCCTCTCGTTTGCATCCTTTCCTCTCGTCCTCTCGTTTGCATCCTTTCCTCTCGTCCTCTCGTTTGCATCCATTTTCTCGTCCTCTCGTTTGCATCCATTTTCTCTCGTCCTCTCGATTGCTTCCATTTTCTCGTCCTCTCGTTTGCATCCTTTCTCTCGTCCTCTCGTTTGCATCCATTTCCTGTCGTCCTCTCGTTTGCATCCATTTTCTCTCATCCTCTCGTTTGCATCCATTTTCTCTCATCCTCTCGTTTGCATCCTTTCCTCTCGTCCTCTCGTTTGCATCCTTTCCTCTCGTCCTCTCGTTTGCATCCTTTCTCTCGTCCTCTCGTTTGCATCCATTTTCTCATCCTCTCGTTTGCTTCCATTTTCACGTCCTCTCGTTTGCTTCCTTTCTCTCGTCCTCTCGTTTGCTTCCTTTCTCTCGTCCTCTCGTTTGCATCCTTTCCTCTCGTTCTCTCGTTTGCATCCATTTTCTCTCGTCCTCTCGTTTGCTTACATTTTCACGTCCTCTCGTTTGCTTACATTTTCACGTCCTCTCGTTTGCATCCTTTCCTCTCGTCCTCTCGTTTGCATCCTTTCCTCTCGTCCTCTCATTTGCATCCATTTTCTCTCGTCCTCTCGTTTGCATCCATTTTCTCGTCCTCTCGTTTGCTTCCTTTCTCTCGACCTCTCGATTGCTTCCTTTCTCTCGTCCTCTCGTTTGCATCCTTTCCTCTCGTCCTCTCGTTTGCATCCATTTTCTCTCGTCCTCTCGTTTACATCCATTTTCTCGTCCTCTCGTTTGCTTCCTTTCTCTCGTCCTCTCGTTTGCATCCTTTCCTCTCGTCCTCTCGTTTGCATCCATTTTCTCTCGTCCTCTCGTTTGCATCCTTTCCTCTCGTCCTCTCGTTTGCATCCTTTCCTCTCGTCCTCATCCATTTTCTCGTCCTCTCGTTTGCTTACATTTTCACGTACTCTCGTTTGCATCCATTTTCTCGTCCTCTCGTTTGCTTCCTTTCTCTCGTCCTCTCGTTTGCATCCTCTCGTTTACATCCATTTTCTCGTCCTCTCGTTTGCTTCCTTTCTCTCGACCTCTCGTTTGATTCCTTTCTCTCGTCCTCTCGTTTGCATCCTTTCCTCTCGTCCTCTCGTTTGCATCCTTTCCTCTCATCCTCTCGTTTGCATCCATTTTCTCTCGTCCTCTCGTTTGCATCCATTTTCTCGTCCTCTCGTTTGCTTCCTTTCTCTCGTCCTCTCGTTTGCTTCCTTTCTCTCGTCCTCTCGTTTGCATCCATTTCCTCTCGTCCTCTCGTTTGCCTCCTTTCTCTCGTCCTCTCGTTTGCTTCCTTTCTCTCGTCCTCTCGTTTGCATCCTTTCCTCTCGTCCTCATCCATTTTCACGTCCTCTCGTTTGCTTACATTTTCACGTCCTCTCGTTTGCATCCATTTTCTCGTCCTCTCGTTTGCTTCCTTTCTCTCGTCCTCTCCCATTTTCTCGTCCTCTCGTTTGCCTCCTTTCTCTCGTCCTCTCGTTTGCTTCCTTTCTCTCGTCCTCTCGTTTGCATCCTTTCCTCTCGTCCTCATCCATTTTCACGTCCTCTCGTTTGCTTACATTTTCACGTCCTCTCGTTTGCATCCATTTCTCGTCCTCTCGTTTGCATCCATTTCTCGTCCTCTCGTTTGCTTCCTTTCTCGTCCTCTCGTTTGCATCCATTTTCTCGTCCTCTCGTTTGCTTCCCTTTCTCTCGTCCTCTCTCGTTTGCATCCTTTCCTCTCGTCCTCATCCATTTTCTCGTCCTCTCGTTTGCTTACATTTTCGTCCTCTCGTTTGCTTACATTTTCACGTCCTCTCGTTTGCTTCCTTTCTCTTGTCCTCTCGTTTGCATCCTTTCCTCTCGTCCTCTCGTTTGCATCCTCTCCTCTCGTCCTCTCTCGTTTGCATCCTTTCCTCTCGTCCTCCTCTCGTTTGCATCCATTTTCTCTCGTCCTCTCTGTTTGCATCCATTTTCTCTCGTCCTCTCGTTTGCATCCATTTTCTCATCCTCTCGTTTGCTTCCATTTTCACGTCCTCTCGTTTGCTTCCTTTCTCTCGTCCTCTCGTTTGCATCCATTTTCTCTCGTCCTCTCGTTTGCATCCATTTCCTCTCGTCGTCTCTCTCTTGCATCCATTTCCTCTCGTCCTCTCTGTTTGCATCCTTTCCTCTCGTCCTCTCCATTTTCCTTTCCTCTCGTTTGCATCCATTTCTCGTCCTCTCGTTTGCATCCATTTTCACGTCCTCTCGTTTGCATCCATTTTCTCGTCCTCTCGTTTGCTTCCTTTCTCTCGTCCTCTCGTTTGCATCCTTTCTCTCGTCCCTCTCTCTTGCATCCTTTCCTCTCGTTTGCATCCTTTTCTCTCGTCCTCTCGTTTGCATCCATTTTCTCGTCCTCGTCCATCCATTTTCACGTCCTCTCGTTTGCATCCATTTTCTCGTCCTCTCGTTTGCTTCCTTTCTCTCGTCCTCTCGTTTGCATCCATTTTCTCGTCCTCTCGTTTGCATCCATTTTCTCGTCCTCTCGTTTGCTTCCTTTCTCTCGTCCTCTCGTTTGCATCCATTTTCTCGTCCTCTCGTTTGCATCCATTTTCTCGTCCTCTCGTTTGCTTCCTTTCTCTCGTCCTCTCGTTTGCATCCATTTTCTCGTCCTCTCGTTTGCATCCTTTCCTCTCGTCCTCATCCATTTTCTCGTCCTCTCGTTTGCTTACATTTTCACGTTCTCTCGTTTGCTTACATTTTCACGTCCTCTCGTTTGCATCCATTTTCTCGTCCTCTCGTTTGCTTCCTTTCTCTCGTCCTCTCGTTTGCATCCATTTTATCGTCCTCTCGTTTGCATCCATTTTCACGTCCTCTCGTTTGCATCCATTTTCTCGTCCTCTCGTTTGCTTCCTTTCTCTCGTCCTCTCGTTTGCATCCTTTCCTCTCGTCCTCATCCATTTTCACGTCCTCTCGTTTGCTTACATTTTCACGTTCTCTCGTTTGCATCCATTTTCTCGTCCTCTCGTTTGCATCCATTTTCTCGTCCTCTCGTTTGCTTCCATTTTATCGTCCTCTCGTTTGCATCCATTTTCACGTCCTCTCGTTTGCATCCATTTTCTCGTCCTCTCGTTTGCTTCCTTCCTCTCGTTTGCTTCCATTTTCTCGTCCTCTCGTTTGCTTCCTTTCTCTCGTCCTCTCGTTTGCATCCTTTCTACTCGTCCTCATCCATTTCTCGTCCTCTCGTTTGCTTACATTTTCACGTCCTCTCGTTTGCATCCATTTTCACGTCCTCTCGTTTGCATCCATTTTCTCGTCCTCTCGTTTGCTTCCTTTCTCTCGTCCTCTCGTTTGCATCCATTTTCTCGTCCTCTCGTTTGCATCCATTTTCTCGTCCTCTCGTTTGCTTCCTTTCTCTCGTCCTCTCGTTTGCATCCTTTCCTCTCGTCCTCATCCATTTTCTCGTCCTCTCGTTTGCTTACATTTTCACGTTCTCTCGTTTGCTTACATTTTCACGTCCTCTCGTTTGCATCCATTTTCTCGTCCTCTCGTTTGCTTCCTTTCTCTCGTCCTCTCGTTTTCATCCATTTTCTCGTCCTCTCGTTTGCATCCATTTTCACTTCCTCTCGTTTGCATCCATTTTCTCGTCCTCTCGTTTGCTTCCTTTCTCTCGTCCTCTCGTTTGCATCCATTTTCTCGTCCTCTCGTTTGCTTCCTTTCTCTCGTCCTCTCGTTTGCATCCTTTCCTCTCGTCCTCATCCATTTTCTCGTCCTCTCGTTTGCTTACATTTTCACGTCCTCTCGTTTGCATCCATTTTCTCGTCCTCTCGTCCTCATCCATTTTCTCGTCCTCTCGTTTGCATCCATTTTCACTTCCTCTCGTTTGCATCCATTTTCTCGTCCTCTCGTTTGCATCCATTTTCTCGTCCTCTCGTTTGCTTCCTTTCTCTCGTCCTCTCGTTTGCATCCTTTCCTCTCGTCCTCTCGTTTGCTTACATTTTCACGTCCTCTCGTTTGCTTACATTTTCACGTCCTCTCGTTTGCTTACATTTTCACGTCCTCTCGTTTGCTTCCTTTCTCTCGTCCTCTCGTTTGCATCCATTTTCTCGTCCTCTCGTTTGCATCCATTTTCACGTCCTCTCGTTTGCATCCATTTTCTCGTCCTCTCGTTTGCTTCCTTTCTCTCGTCCTCTCGTTTGCATCCATTTTCTCGTCCTCTCGTTTGCATCCATTTTCACGTCCTCTCGTTTGCATCCATTTTCTCGTCCTCTCGTTTGCATCCATTTTCTCGTCCTCTCGTTTGCTTCCTTTCTCTCGTCCTCTGGTTTGCATCCATTTTCTCGTCCTCTCGTTTGCTTCCTTTCTCTCGTCCTCTCGTTTGCATCCTTTCCTCTCGTCCTCATCCATTTTCTCGTCCTCTCGTTTGCTTCCCATTTTCTCGTCCTCTTCGTTTGCTTCCTTTTTTGCTCCTCGTCCTCTCGTTTGCATCCTTTCTTCTCGTTTGCATCCTTTCCTCTCGTTTGCATCCATTTTCTTGTCCTCTCGTTTGCTTCCTTTCTCTCGTCCTCTCGTTTGCATCCATTTTCTCGTCCTCTCGTTTGCATCCATTTTCTCTCGTCCTCTCGTTTGCATCCATTTTCTCTCGTCCTCTCGTTTGCATCCATTATCTCGTCCTCTCGTTTGCTTCCATTCTCTCGTCCTCTCGTTTACATCCATTTTCTCGTCCTCTCGTTTGCTTCCATTTTCTCGTCCTATCGTTTGCTTCCATTTTCTCGTCCTCTCTTTGCATCCTTTCCTCTCGTCCTCTCGTTTGCATCCATTTTCTCTCGTCCTGTCGTTTGCATTCTCGCAGAGAAATGTAGTGGTGGTCGCTGATACTTTAATATCCGACTAACGGTCGTCCGACATCGACTGACTGACCAACTCCGCGACTGACTCGTTACTATTACCACTACTACTTATTATAGGTGGGAGAGTCTATTAACTATAGAGTAGGTGTGTTCCACTATACCAGTTTTTTTTTATTTGGTAAGATTATTAAAAACAGTTACACATTTTGAAAAATCGCTAAGCGTGAAAGAACGCTGTGATTGGTTAAATAATACAAGAATGTTATTTATTCTGTGTATTATAAAAATGTATGCGTATTATAAAAGATTGTTTTATTAAGTTTATTTCTTTAGATAAATCATACTGGGCGGTGTTTCAGGCTTAGAATAAAATTATTTGAAGCTTGTGTTAAAATTATTAAAGAAATTTAATCTCATTAAATTTAATTTTATCATCACTCAAGAAGCTGCATACATTTTACTGTTTAATGTGAACGTAAGGATTAACGTCGATATAAGGATTAAAGAAATAATTAAGCAAGAAAGATTACAAGATGTCTGATGAAACTCGTCTTTTCTTCAATTTTTGGGAAGGTGTCTTGATAGATTTTACTCAGCAGTGCAAAAATACTTGTGTATGTGTATTAACGTGTATCTGATTATTATATTGTATTTGTGTGTAAATGTGTGTGTGTTTTTTTGTTTTGCATGGTTTATTTTATACTATTGTTCGCCAAATACAATACCCAAAGGTTATTCAAGGTATTTATTGTTTTTTACGGTTTATCAACCATTTATGGGTTATTTTAAAGCCGAAACACATTTTGGATTGTAAGAGTATTTTTTTTCTTTCTTCGACTGAATATCGCCCTAACAATTTTCTTGGAGTCCAATGAGTTTTCCACATACAAAGCCTACTATTTAACCTATATGTGGGGGTGGAAGGAGATGGATTCATATCTTTCTCCGGGGCTATTTCCGCGTAAGTGAATGTCACGAACTCAACTGGGATTCGAACTCAACTCTCCGATTTATCATTCCGAACCCTTGTTTATTACTCTGATCGCGCATCCAACTCCACTGAATATAGTGATTTTCCAAGCACAGCTTAAATGGGGCACAAGGTCGAAAGTATGGGGTACCCAATGAGGATCGAACTCACTACTCAGTTGTAATTGATCTAGCAAGACTAGCTTTCTAACCATTACACCACGTTGAAGTGCCCCACCTCCACTGAAGATAATGGGTCACTGGAGCAGCGTTGTAATGGCTTAAAGGTTGGAAGTAAGAAGTGCATATTTTGTATATAAGATAACGGTTGACCTTAGAAGTTCAGATTGTAGCGATCAGGGAAGCATCCTCACGGGAGTCTGTTCTTACGAATGGAATGCGGATGAATTGATCCTGCGTTCGTGGCATGGTGATTCCTAGCTGTAATGTTTCTCTTTCGTATCCTGTCTTGTGTTACCTTTGTTGGCATATATGGATATTGCAGTGTGTGTGTCGTTTTCCGATTAAAAAAAAACTGGTTTGTAAGTGTGATTACAGCTTTTAGGGTTGTTAACACTTTGAAAAAAAAAATTACGTATTATGAGATATAATTCAATAACACCGACGTAATCATTTTCCGTTGAAAATATGCTAAAATGCCCTCAGCTACATGTAATGTCGCCATATAATTCTATTCTGGATGAGGCTTCTTCTTATTCTATGTGCCGTGTCCCTTCAGGACATGGGTGATCATGGCTTGCCACAATTTACTATACTTTGTAGTCCTTAGTGAAGCCTATTTGCTACATGTAATCACTGTTCGGTCAACTAATTACACAAGCTTGTTGGGTAATTTATGCGCTGCTCTATTTCCTCATTATGTACCCTAGAAATTTCAACTTTTTCCGGTGCTACATATAAGTGTCCTTTCGTTTTCATTTTCTCTAAAACTTCGCCGTAGCACACGTGTTCAGTCCATGGCATTCTTAGAATCCATATGTAGAACCACCTTTTCTGTTACTTCATGTCTTTTCTCCATCTGTGATGAGGCGTAGAAGTTTATTAAAAGGTCGTTTATGACATCGGCTGATAACATCACGTCATTTGGAAATTTTTCTACCGGTTATCTCCCTTTGATATTCTCAAATATTTTTTCGTTCTCCCCTTCTCTCTCTCTTAAGTCCTTTTATTACACGAATGATTTGAACTTCATTTGCCTTAAATGCAGAGTTTCAGAAGAGTACTCTCATTAGTAGATATTTATGTAGATGATGCTATTTATGGACGCAAATCCAATAATCTAAATGATCGAAGCCTTGCAGCTGAGGCTGGAGCTGCTCAACCACCACCGTCCAGTTTTGACAGAGTTTATAAGCGTCTAGGTGGCCTTGTGGGTAAAGAATTATCTTTCTCGCTACTTTCCCACAGACAATGTTGCAAGTTTCTCGCTACTCTATCGCTAATTCCATAGCTAGATCTGACTAGTTGTTTTCATCAGTTCTGACCTTTCCCATCTACGAACCACCGTGCCACGCACACGGATTCAAACCCTCCTCATTCAGTTTGTATTTCATTGGTAAGGAGGAAATTCAATTCGGACACCTTCTCAAGAGCTCCTTTGTGAAACAAACTCCCGAGGGGATGCTTTCCAGATCGCTACAATCTTTTCAACACTTGGTTCAATCTATCCTACATATTCTCATAATCTGCACTTTTTTCTCCTCCTCTTACGTCCATAAAACTACGTCATTCAGTAAACCCCTACATTGAGTGGCTCTTGGGGGTTTTACCATGTAATATTTTTATGTAAATATTTTATTCCTCGATCAATAAGTCTTGTCATTTTTACTATTTTATATCCGTGTTATTTCAGCCAGCCGGCATTACTAATCCTAACAATTGTTAAATGAAATATTCATTTACTCTCACCGATGCTTACAATGCTTTTTCACCACTATTGTTATTTAAAAAAACAAATTGTACTTGATATCATATACAAAATCCCCCTTGAAAGGCATGAAACTGTCCCTCCTCATCCTAGCTATAGTTCAAATAGCAAAACAGGATCAATATCAATCACTCAAAAGGAAAGATAACTCTACACTCAAAACTATTGTTGTCAGCTCAACTGCATTTCTCTCAAACAATCATGGTGATGCAGTATTCATAGATATTAAAGAAAAGGAAGCTCGAGAGAACCGTGATTACATATGTCCTTAAGGGACATGATATTCCTTGACAGTAAGAGAAAACTCAAAAACCTATTATGGTTCGGTTTCATATTTGTATATAAATGTTGTTGTTGCCCACGTAATATGAATTCCTCTTGTCTCTTATTACAATTCTGTTTCAGCGTTCGTTCATGTATCTGGCTTACTAATCCTAGTTTAGAATTGTTGACTGGAATATTATTTCTCTTTCGCCAAACTACAGTCCAACTAAATGACCAAACATACGGAAAAGCTTCCGAATTTTTCAGCATATTTTTCGCGGGTGTATGTATGTATGTATGTATGTATGTATGTATGTATGTATGTAGGTAGGTAGGTGTTATGGTAATTTACCCACGCACGCATGGACTCTCCCATCTATAAATAGGAGCAGGTACTGCCTTTTGAAGGGTGAAGTTTCCAGCAGTCAGCTCTGAGAGTCGGACCGAACATTCTTGCTGTAACTCTCGTTTGTATATGTTTATCTTACTATTACAGTTAATACAGGGTGACCCCTCCCCCCGCAAAAAAACGGGAATTTTTGAAGTGCGTATTGCCAGATATGAGAAAATGGCAATACTGCGAGACAGTGACCTTGAGCAAGTAAACATCTCGCCATTTAGAATTCAAGATGAAATTCAGAGTATTCCAGCTGAGCTGTTGCAGCAGTCAATGAGGAATCTCAACAGCAGATTTCAAGAATGCATTTCTACAGGAGGACGCCATCTACAGGACGTAATTTTTTAAAAATGAAAATTCCATCATTGTTTCTTAAATGGCTTGTTTTAAGGTTTCAATTATTATGAATAAAATATTTTTCTTCCATCACTCTTGGTTTTATTGGATTGTTAAAAAGTTCCCGTTTTTTTGGGCCACCCTGTATATAACATGGTCACAACAGTATATATGCATGTATGTGAGTGAATTTGATATCCCTGATTGTAGTCAGTTGATTAGTATAGAGTCTTGAGTAATTAAGCACCAGTTACAGTAGAGTGGTGTTGCGTTGCAATTCATACCCGAGACCAGGTTCGCTGACAGGGTGCAGCTTCTTCCAGTTAACCGCTTGTTGTTTAAAAATAACCATTCGGTCAGATCGTTACCCATGAGTGAAAGACCTGACACTTTCTAGCAGTAAACCAGATTTTATTCATGTGTTGTAGCTTACAGCTATAGGCGAGCGAAGATGAGGTGAACTGTCTAACGGACGTCTTCCCTGTCCCGTTGTTCTCCGTGGGCGTGCTTCGTCGCTCTGTATTTCTTTTCGCAGGTACTGGTCATTTTTTTTTTTTTTTTTTTATAGCTAACATGATTTTTTGTCCAGTCGTCCTTGTCTAAATAAGTAATTTATTTTCGTTCAGCGACTTTTTTTTTTTTGTCTCGGCCGCTTGGGAAGCCGACTTTACGATACAACCATTGATCCAAAATAAATGTTCCGAGTTAACTTTTGAGACAGGTTCTGCTGTTTTCCATTTAACAAGACCCCACTTGACTGATATTGCTACAGGGGTCAGGCTGAAGGACGATAGGACCTTCATCAGTTTCTTTCTGTACAGTGAACTGTTGTCAAGAGGAAAAGACCAGCGCATAACCCAAAATTTAGGTACGGAGATTGCATCAAGAAGATGCTGCATAAGGCATGCATAACTGGGAAAACTTCGCTCTCGATCTTTCATCCGAGAGAAAAACAATGCACAGTGGTATTAGAGATTTTGAACTGAATCGTGTGGAGCAAGAAAAACTCAAGGAAGTTGTTCATAAGTCTCTTAACATTAATCTCTTTGAGAATGGTGGCACAGTTTTATTAAATGTTAAATGTATGTGATCGAGTTTGTCATAAGTATGACAAACCTAAAAAAAGTCATCAAAAATGTCTCACAAAGAGGCAAGTCATTAATTACACGTGGTGCAGCTTTCGTACTTGTAACAAGTCTAGAAAAAATATGTGCCTCAGTTGGTGTACTAAAATGTCATGAATGTTCATCAAACTATTATTACTGTAATAATGACTACAGGAGGCGCACAACGTTGCCACATCTGCGCAGGAGAATGTAAGATCCTAGCAGGACTAAAAAGTTATATCAGCGCTGCCCATAAATAAAATAATAATAGGAATAAATTGAGAGATGGCATTTCTCAAAATGGAGCCGCAGTCATCGTGTATGTATATGGTCATGTGACCGAGTGGTTAGAACGTTAATCTTCCGATCATGAGATTCGGGTTCAAATCTCGCCGTGGTCAGTTTGTCAGCGAGGTGGCCCTTTTGATAATATCGACCTGAAGAGACTATCCCAACTTGAGGTACGTTTGAGAATTGTCTGAAAACCATACCTCGGGTTTACTCAAGCCTTTGAGTAAAATTGGGTCGACGGAACTCTTCAAAAGCAGACGGACGGTTGTGCTCGCAGAAGGCCACATGTCATTGTGGTCGAGGACCTGAGTGCATTAACTTTTTCAAACTGTTGGTAACGCCAGATGACGTATAAATTATTTATTTTCTCTTTAGTAAATAGCGGTGAGGCATCTTTTGAAGTTTTCTCCCTATTCTTTTTAAAGATTCTAGGCACCGTCAACCACAGGCTCTTAAAAACCCATGCTACATTTACTCATTAAACGATAGTATATTGCAGTCTAAACCTGTTGAAGCTTACGGCCGCATTACGTTGAAACGCTGGTTCTCGGAAGATCACCAAAGTTAAGCAATGTCGAACATGGTTACTATTTAGATGAGCCTTAGAAAAGAAACCAATCGATCAATTAACCAAACCTATTGATAGATTTTATTTCATATCATTGGGGGAATAAAATACATTGCATCGTCATCAATGTCAATAAGTTTCTATTTTTTTTATATATTAACATTTGCTAGGACACTTCCAGAAAATTCAACTGTTTGAAAAAAAAACAAAAAAAAAAACATTAATTTTCTAGCTTGCATCTAATATAAACATAATATGCTTTGTAAATCATAGGTAGGCTCTGTGGGTGCAGGAGCAATACATTTATGCCTGAGTTGGCGTCTGCAACAGGTATTTGCCTGTCACCCTAGAAAACAGGATATTCGGACATGACCAGTTATGTACATAGGAAGTTGAGGTAGGTTTTCAAGTCAGCCTGCACTGACGGACTCGGCTGCAAATTTAAACGCGCCAAAATAACTCCATCTAACTAAATCTTTAGCAAACAAGCAAATGCGACAATATCAGCTTTTCTTTTGTCTTCTACTTTCTTTCGTGTCGTAGTCTCTGATCTGTTTCATTGACTTTGAGTCAACTTTTCCTTTGTCAACTTGAATTAAAACTTATTTTAAAAAAAATAAAGAAAAGAAAACCATGTTGACTGTTTTTAAAACAACAAAGTGAAATCAGTGATAACTATACAAAGAGATCAACGTCTAAGGCAGGAAAAAAAAGAATTAAACCTTTGTAAAAAAAATAATAACATAAAAATAAAAAGGAAGCAACAGAAACACAGAAGATAATATGGTGTATAAAATCGATATCAAACTTGCTTAGACGAATACGTAATGAACGCATGGCAAACACATTGTATAAGCTATATGAAAACAACCGGATATAATAATAATAATAAAAAAATCGTTTGACGACAAGAGAATGAACGGAAAGTCTAAGATGCTAGACAGGAAAAGAAACGGAAGTTTCGCAGGGGAATAAAGAAAGTTGCGGGGAGAGAATACCTTGTAAAAAAAAAAAAAGAAAAAGAAAAAAAGACGATGATGAAAGGGTTCAAAATGGACGAATAGTTCAGTGAAACATCAAAACGAATTGTTAAGCACAAGATCAAAGCGAATCGATAAGTATGATTAAGTTTACCGTCTAAATAAGCTGAAACGTTCGCCCAAGTTCTGCAGCATTCTGTCTTCTCTGTACTTAATTTACGTTTCACAGGTTCTGTAAACTAAACAAAAATTGAAACTTAAAAAAGAAAAGACACAAACTGCAAAATTTTCTCAGCGTGTGCTAATGGTTTGCGAAGCTACGCAGCTTGACCATTACTATTGAGTTGTGAAATCAATTAACCAAACCTGAAATCATTTGCAATGCATTTTCTTAATAAAATCATTTCTTTATACTTTGGCGTGAGGTAACGGTTAACAAGGCTAGTTTAGTGGATGTACAGAGTAGTGAGTTCAATCTTCATTAGTTGCCTCATAAAAATGTCGGCATTAAATAACCCAAGAAGTTGTAAAATCAACCAAACTAGCTTAAAATCAGTTGCAATGCATTTTTATAGTAAAATCATTTTGAATGCATTTTTATAATAAAATAATTTTGAATGCATTTTATAATAAAATCATTTGGAATGTATTTTCGCAGGAAAGTCTTTTGCGATACGTTCCTGAGGAACTACAACTGATGTCTCCTCTTCATCTGTAAGGAAATTGTTCAGCATTTACTGCCATATAAGCGGATTGATATCGCATCACAGTTTAGCACTCTTTATTTTCCCACCGAAGTTTTCCTGATTCTTCATTCTTTTTCCGTTTTTTTTTTTTGAAGACATCTTTTGCTATTCTAATGAACGTTCGGACTTCTGTGTCACATTTTCTACCGTCTGTTAAAAAAAAAACTTCTCAGGGTTAAATTTCTGTACGTGCGTCTCCAATTCTCAACTCGCAACTTCTGTTGTCCCTCTTGCTAAGAACCATACCTTCTGGTTAGTCCTCTTTTTTTTGCCTCCCCATATTACCTTGTCTAGGAGTTCTTCTGACTTGTGTTTTACAGCCTCAAACTCAACAAATCATTCTCGTCAACTTCCGAGCTTTATTTCAAAGGACAAGTCACCACCCTTAAAATGCGTCAACCAGTTTGGGGCAACACGGTCTGTTACAGGATCGAGTTAAGACCATATGTGTAATCCAACAATTGTGTTCTTTAAGTACTCTCATCAGATAAAAACTGTTCTCCTTCTCTTTCTGCTCGCTCTCTTTCTCTTTCGACTTCTTTTCCTCTTCTTTCTTTTATTCGTTCATCTGGTTCCCTCCTCCTCTATATCTATATGTTCTTTCTTTTTTTTTCTTCCTTTATCTCTTTTTACCTTTCTTTCTATTGGTTACGTCAACATCTGTTTTCTCTAATCATTTGACTGGTGTTTATTCCGTCTGATTCCACGTCTCTTTTTTCATTTACTTCTTATCCTCCTACAGATTTATTTTTTCTTTCTTTCTCCGAAACATGTCTGTCTGTCTCTTCTTCCTTTTCTCTTTCATTTTCTCTTTCTTTTTATTACTCAGTGGAATGAATTCTTCTCGACTCGTTCTACATTTCTCTTGCATCTTAACCATTTATTTGTTCGCTTATATCGCTGGTAACCATGGATCATTCTTTTCTTATTCGCTATGGAATCAATTTCTTTCCACAAAAGAAAAGTCGATAGAAACAGAACCAGTGTCTCTGACACAAGAAAGAAAATGAGGCGGTCAGCATTTATTTATGTCCGTGTCATGGGAGATCACGTTGTGAATATTAATGTGATCTTTCAACATAAACTCTTCTCAAATCTTATCATCTCTTTTTCAGACAAACTTCTAATTTCTTTACCTTCTTTTGTGTCTTAAGGCTGATTTTTCATTGCTGATAAAATTTAGCGAACTAACAGCATACAGTACGTTTGGCGACTTAGATTAACCAAGCTGAAGGTATTATCTAATACTATTGTACCCGAAGACGTTTTCGTTGGTTCATGTCTTTTGAAGAAGGAATAATGAAGAAAAGGTGTATGCTGCTTAATTTATCTCATCAAATGATGAATGAAGTTTTCCGTTAAAGTATTCTTCTTCTTTATATATGTCATATCCTTTCAGACCATGGTCTATCATGGCTCTACACAAATTCCTGTCTTTTGTTATTCTCAGGAACCTTTGATCCTCTGCCATCCCTCTTTGCCATTGTTCTAATATCCATTTTCACAGAGTTGTTAAGTAAGTTACAATCTGTTATATTTTCCGGATGTGAATGAAAATAGCTCTCTACAACATCCCTCTTTTGTTACTCTAAGTACATTCTGACTCTTTGCCATCATTCTACCATCCATTCAGAAAAAACTCTGTTTTCAACTAATTTGTTAACCTTCAGTAGTTCTGTGCGCGTTAAATTCTCCAAGCACGTTTTCCTCATTGTGTGTTCTATAAATTTAAATTTTAATTACTTTTTCTAGTTTAATATAGATTTCTTTAAAACTTCATTTCTCACCAGAAATGTCAATGATATTCTCAGCATTCGTCGGTAGAACCACATCACTATTGTTTCAAATCTTGTCTTCATCTTCAAAGAGCCTATCCAGTATCCGTTACCCTAAAGGAGTTTAGATATCATATAGCAGATGAACAATCTTTTCTCTGTTTCTAACGGCTGTTTTCTAGCTATTAATTCTCGGATCAGTTTTGGAACGGCGCCGACCTATGTTTTTTTTTGTATTGCTGTCTCTGTTACTCTACTATCTAAGCAGATTTCTGAACCTGCTTGATTTAGATATCACCAAGATACTGCTCACACATTTGCCTATTTCTTATGCTGACAACCATGCATTATTTTCTGATAAGGAATAGCTTTTTCTTCTTTCTTTCCATTAACTTCTTCTTCAAAAGTTTTATTTACAGTTAAACTGTTTTTCTCATCTTTGTTGTTATATTCAAAACGTTTCGGCCTTTCATTCTCATGCATTCTTCAGGTGTTTGACGATCCTTTCGTACTAATCCGTGTGTCCTTCAAGGCTCCATCCTTGGTCCTACTTTTTTTAATTTTCACTAATGACTTTCTCGACGGCATCAGCTCTCAACTGGGGATCAGTTTCAATCATTTACTTCTGTATCGAGTGTAAGTCTGATCAGTTTGATAAGGCCAAAGTGACAGTCTGTTGTTAACTGGGGCAAAAGATGGCTTGTTAATTTTAACGCCTCCAAAACTAAACTGCTTTCCATTAATCATCTCGGTGACACTTCTCTGAGTTTCATCAGCATGGCTGCTGCTAACCTCTAAGAAAGTGACTCTTTATTCCTTTTCGACCTCACATTCTCGGCTGACATGTAGTGTAAAGACTATTTTGAATCCATTGATAGGTCAGCTGCTAAGAAAGTTTGTTCACTGTGTCGTGCGAGATAATTTTTCTCCTCGGAATCTATCCTACGTATCTATAAGTCTACCATTTGTCCATGCTTAGAATGTTGCAGACACATATAGTCCGGATCTTCTGTTATGTATCTAGAGTTCCTTGATAAAATCCAAAGAAGAATCAGCAATATTATTGGTCCTGACCTGTCACTTTCCCATCGCCGTAAGGTTGCCTCCCTGTGCCTTTTCTATAAATACTTCAACAGTAATTGTTCGGATGAACTCATCGCTATGGTACCTGGACTTCTTGAATTTAAGCGCAATGCTAGACTGGCGTCGAGATCTCTTCACTTTACACTTGAGCTGGTTAGACGTAACCGAAAATTCTACGCTAACAGTTTCTTTTCTCGCTTTCCAGCTAACTTTAATTTAAAAATAAATACAATGCCAGTCGCTATCTACTGTCCTACTGATTACTCTTTTTGTTTTTGCTCATTTGTAATGTTTCTGTTTCTAATTCTTCCACATCCCTTGTCTTAATGGCTTGCAGGGGCCGATCTCGATTTAAGAAAAAATTTTTACGTTACTTAGAACTGCAAATATTCTGCAAAAGGTACATTCTGTTTGAGGCCGTGCAACTTGATAGAGAGCACGCATAATGACAAAATCGTAGTAACGAAAATAATGATAATAATGTGCCCTAATGCTACACAAGGCATGGATTCCAATCAATTGAGGATTTAATACGTATATATTTTTCTTAGTGAATTAAGATTGGCAGCACTAAATATCCCGTTCAGTACCATGATTTTAGCCCCTTGGACATGTCCACTTGGAGCTGTGTATCCCTGTTCATGAAAGTATAATGGAGTATAATCATGTCCGGGTGTCAAGAAGTTATTTTTTATTTTTAAGTTGATATAATTTAGCAACCAATATACTTGAAAAATCCCTCAGAGACTGTCTAGATTATCTGACATGAAGGTATGGATAACTAGTTCCCATCTGTATGGTTATCTGCTGCTTTTATGAAAATTTGCCACTGTATCACGCAGTGATGATTGTGCCTGATCAGTTCTGGGTGTTTGTACGAGTAATGTCGGGCTTCGTACATTTATACTGCAGTACAAATGTACGAAGCCCGACATTACTTTGTACTTTGTTGATGTGCTGTTCTCTCACTATGTCGTCATAATCTGGAGATGTGTATAAAATCAGTTTTGGACTAAAGGTCTGTAAAAAGAAAAAGTACGTAATAGTTTGTGAAAAGATTAGTATTCAAATAGATAGAATCTGCCAATGTTTAGTTTCAACTGAAACTTTAAAAATATCCTTTGTAGTGGGCGGAGTAATTTCCCTTTAATTCAGTTGGACTATTTAAGCCATTTCGTTTCATGGCGCCGAGCAAGCTCTAAAATTTTATGTATGGTCATAAAAGGATTTTGAACAATTTCCAGTTTGATAAATATTCGATTAATATACATCTCTTCACCATTCGATATTTAGACTGATAACGTCTTTCACCTCCGCCATTTTTAATTTTTCGTCCAAGACCTAATTCTTTGTTAAGTCTTCTACAATCTGTTTTATCCAGGTTTTATCAACTGACAATTTCTACACTCTTCTTTGTTTTAGACTTTTTGTTTTTTCTTTTCCCGACTTCCTTTTTTTCCTTTTCCTTTTCAATCTTTAAACACTTTTTTCATTTCTTTCTTTATATCATTGTTGTTGTTTTCTACTTTTCTGTTTTTGTCTCTTTCTTTTCACCTCTTCTTCAAACTTCTCGTTTCCTTTCTCTTTTCATTTCTATTTTCGATTCCTCGTAGTCTCTCTTAACTGATTATTTTCTTTCTTTCTTTTTTTTGTTTTGTTTCTCGGTTTCTCTCTTTGTTTGTTGTTCACTTTGATTCTTTCTTTCTTTACTTGATCATCATTACCTTTTTGTTTGCCACTGTGACTCCGCCTTTTACTTTTCTTTTTTACTGTTCCTTCTTTGCTTGATACTCCTCCTCTCTTTCTTTGATCCTCCCCCTCTCTCTGCTTGATACTCAAAATTATTTTTCTCTTTCCTTCTTTCTCTCTTTCCGCCTTTTTCCATTTCCCTCCTTTTTTTTTCCATCTCTGTTCTTTTTTTTTTTCATCTCTTTCCTTTTTAGTTTCTTCCCGACTTTAAGACGCTCCTCATTACTGCTGTACGTGGTTATTGACTTCTGCTATTTGCAAACAACTGACATTATGAAGCTGATTTTTTGCCTTGTAAAAAACCTTTTTTCTTAAATTTTATATATATATATATATATATATATATATATATATATATATATATAGTTTGTTTTTCAAATTTTTTTCATTTTGATTCTTTCACTTCTTCTCAATTTTCCGAATTAATTTTTTTTTCTTTTCGTCAAATTCTTCTTTTTTCGCTGCCTGTCACCAACTTCATTTCAAATACATTTTACTTCGATAACGTTCATTATCATTCTGTCGATACAATTTTGATATTGATTCCTAAGCCTTTATTCTTCTCTTTTCGTGGACCATTCTTTTTTTTTCATTGACTAAATCAGTATTCCTTTTGTTTAGTATCAGCAGACCGTATTCTTCACTTCCACGTAAAATAAAATAAACTTACTACATATCCCATTTCGATTTCTTTCTCCTTCGACATTCCTTTGTGAACGTTTCAGTCGTGATGACGCGGCTTTGTCATTAAAAATCTTGTTTAGTTTGTGATTATTGTGTTTTTTGCGTTGGTGAGATTCACGATGCAATTTTGATGGGAGTTTCTGGAAAATCCAAACAATTGTGAGTCTCTCTATATTTCTGACATGAGATATTGTAACTATTTACACTATTTACATTGTTCTGACTCCTGTCTTCATCGTTATTGTCATATCCACGACAAGGACATTTGACCTAAAGAGGTGTGAGTTCAATACCCGGACACAGCAGAGGTGAACAAAAACTTGAAGAATTGAGCTACTAAAGGGAAATAACTGAAACATCCAGAAAAAGTATGGCACGAAGAACTAGAAGACTTCCCCCTTGTGGACTAAATAAAGGGTTCGGTTCAAAATTCCAGCGTATATCACCTGAAGAAGGCCGTGGATATGACGATAAAGATGAGGACAACAGTAAATAGTGTTAATTGTAACTCTGAGGAGTATTTTAACAAATAGTATTCAGCGATTCCAGTCGAATCCATTACATTCAGTTACGTACTATACCCTTGGGAAAGGTATGTATCATCTTCTTCTCCCTCCAGCGATGGGTAAATAACAGGACAGACTGGGTTCTATAGTCTTGGATGGCAACTGGTCTACTGCAGAAAGAAATGGAAACCTACTGCGGGAAAAAAATCTGCCTCGTCAGTCATGTATTGATACATGATCGCCTAAGCGTGTATCACGCATGGCACATAACTGACTGATTCAGCGAAATACTGCTATGAAAAATATATGGTCCCGGTATTCCAGGACTGCGGCAACACCATTCCTCATATTGATACCTGAGTGACAGCGCCTAAGGTGACAGGACACAACGTATTAAAAAAGGATCCTGTGTACCAACCTTCCATTTGTGAGGAGATCCAGTAAATAAAATCTTATAAGAATGAATTTCGTCCGCGCTGACCAAAATGTCTATTTTTTTTTATTTTCTTGAGACACTATTAGCATCGTTTAAGTTTAGGCATGTTATTCTTATAGGAGAATGAATTTTGATTGCTCTGACCAAAATGTCTATTTTACATTTTGCTATGCGACTGTATTAGCAACGTTTCGCCTGTTACCTTTAGGAGCGTGAACTTCGATTGCAGTGACCAAAATACTCTCTTTCTCTCTGTTTTTGATATTAAACTGTATTCTCTTTGAAGTTTAACTTCACCGTGTGCATTTTGATACCATTGACCAAAAACAAAAATACTTTTTTTTGTCATTAGATTGCTTACATTATTTACATTGTTCGGACTGTTATTCGTCATGCTGTATTCACGATGTTTCGGCATTTGTACGCTTCTTCAGGTGATTGGAATTTCAGTTCGAACCCTTTATTTCATCCACCGGCGTAGATTGTTCTCGTTCCACGTGACATGCCTCTTCCGGATATCTCAGTATCAGTTATTTCCATTGAACTCAACTCTCCAAATTTTTGCTCACTGATAACTGATACTCATACTGAGATATCCGGAAGAGACATGACACGTGAAACTAGAACAATCTACCCAGGTGGACGAAATAAAAGATTAGTTTCGAAATTCCAATCACCTGAATAAGGCCGGTGCGTACAACGGCCGAAACGTCGTGAATATGGCAACAAAGATGAGGACAACAGTTCGAACAATGTAAATAGTGAAAATATTTACAGCACCTCATCTCAGAAATATAGACATCTATCATTAGATTGCGTTTAATTTTAATTAAATTTTTTTTTTAAAATATCGTTGTAGATTATTTTGTGGTCGCTATCGTAATCTTAATAACGTAAAATGTCATTTTATTTTTTTTTGTTTAATTGGTAAAAACTTGCTTATCTTTCTTCATGGAAGAAAACATGCAAGATTTTTTTTATTTGTAGCAATGTGCAAAATGAAAACAAGTTACAGAGTTTGTGTAGACGTTATATTTCATGATTAAGTGTATACAGTGTGGTACTAAACATATAGTTTAACTATCCAACGCACTGCCATCAGACGACTTCGAATCAGTGACTATGAAATCCTATAGAACGAACTGAATGACGTATCTAGTACAATCTTCAGGAAACTTGATCGATTCCAGATCGCCTCGCTCTCAGCATGGCGAATAACAACATTTTCTTCTATGTGCTGTATCCGTTCAGGATGTCGACGATCATGATTCTCGACAACTTCCTCTTCTTTGTTGCTCTTAGTAAAGTTTGTTTTTTGCCATACCTCCAAACCCCTGTTCTACCAACAATTATAAAAGATTGTTATTCGCTGCTTTCCTCTGTCCTTCTTGTTGTCAATATGCCCTATGACTGCCAGACTCTCCAATCCATCTTTCCTCATATACATTAGAAATTTCAACTGGCTTTTTGGAATTTTAACTAGAAGTGTCCTTTTTGTTTCCATTTTCTCTAAAACTGTATTGGTGCTCACATGTTCAGTCCATGGCATCCTTATTATCTTTTTATAGAACGATATTTCTGTTAACTCCTCCACTTCATCTCTGATGAGATTTCCCAGCATTCGCTGCCATATAGGAAGACCGATATTCCATAACGGGTCAGAACTCTTTTCTTTGTTTCTAACGAAATTTCCCCGTTTCTTAAGGCTTAGCTTTTGGAAGACATTTTTTGTGATCCCAATGCGTCTCCAGATTTCGATGTCATCTATTAAATCTCTAGCCAAATATTGAATTTTTGTACTTGCTTGATTTTGATGTCTTCAATTCGTTGTTCGCACATTCAGCTGGTCTTTCAGCTGATCATCATCAGTACCTTGACATGATTCACCATTAAAACTGAATCATGAGTATGAATCTCAGCATAATTAAGGTAAACGTAATAAATAACAACTCAACCCTGGTGTGGATTAATGTTTAGTGAATTAGTTTGATTGAATAGTGAGCTCAATCCATACTGGGTATTCTGTATTTGTATCTTTCTATCAAAACTATGCTAAACTTGGTCATTGGACTAGACTAGTTGACCGTTAACATTAAGCAGTTGGTTTGATCTATACATGTGATCTTGTGTCAAAACTTTTCTAAAGCATAGACGTTGTCATTTAGCAACAGTTCCCAGGGCTGATCTTTGGAGTCGAGGGACTCCAGGTTTACAACCAAGGTTTAACCCGGCCTGTTCATCGTATATTAACATACTTTGCTATTTTAAATTCTTTAGATGATTTTTTTTACTCGGTTCTCTAATTGACATATCAGCATTTGAGGGCGTGAACACACCTGACTTATCTAGGAATTACCATACTTTCTAAGGTTTTCACTTTACTTTCTCCATATTTGTTCTTCTAGACTAGCTGCCACAGTCGTTCTCAAACAATATTATTTAACCCATAGTTGGGTGGCGGATAGGAGATAGATCCATACCTTTCTCAAGGTGAAAGTGAGCATAACATACACGTCTGAAGTATGAACTCGGCTCACTGATTTAAAATCGTTATGCTAATGCGTATCCAACATATTATTTAAATACAGAAAAATAAAATTAAAAACACATCAATCTATAGATAATATAAACAAACACAACGGATATTTTCAGAGTTTGAATTAAAATTAAAATCTGGGAATTCATTGTTAAAAATTCTCAAGAAAATCAAAAAAAAAAAAATGTCTGCAATGTTAATGTTCATGACCTGGCAGCTCGACGTCAAACACTTTCCTAGCGCCATGATATGGATTCCATCTCTCGTTTCTATAAATATTTTCATGGCATTTATTATAATGAGCTTTCCTTCTTGGTATATCGACCACATGAATGTAAGAGAATTACTACGGTGGAGTAATGGATAGTGGCTCGGATTGAGCAATCGGAGAGCCGAGTTTGAGTTCCAATCGAATTCACTTACCTGCTAATATCCTTGGGAAAAATATGTATTCTCTTTATCCCCCCCCCGCCCCAGCTATGGGTAAACAGCAAGACAGACCAGTTGGATGGCAACTGGTCTACCGCAAAAAGAAATTGCAACCTGCTGCGGGAAAAAAAAAATCTGCCTCGTCAGTCATATATCGAAATCTACATGATCGCCTAAGCGTGTATCACGCATGGCCCACAACTGACTGACTGACTAGATTAGCAACTAGGTTTCATCGTTTAATGTTGAATTAGATAGATGTGACCGTAAGTCCTCTTATATT